AAGCCCGCGGGTACAGCTAGTGCTATTATAAACAGGTGATTTTTACCATCAACTGTAAACTAAATTTATTGTGTTGTAAATTGCTAAGTTAAAATACCCATCATAATAAATTTAAATTCCACTGAAACTTAAATAATAAAAGCCAAAATTAGTTGTAAATAAGACGTGAGTTTCCTTTATATTGCTTTTAAATGAAAAATAAACTACACCAAGCCATGTCTTGGTCCCTAGGGCCCCCCCCCCCCAATATTATACACTCAATATTTTTTCACGCGACGCCCCTGTCCCCAGGTACTATTTGATAATACTGTAAACGTTACTTTATGAGTCTGTAATACGATGAAACTGATATAATACTGAATTATGGTTGTACGACGCCACCTCACCAGGCTGAGTATTTTAAGACGAACTCTCTAAACGATCAGTTGTGGTGTTTGAAGCCCTGAAGTTACCTTCCATGTCGACCTATTCAAATTAAATATAGTTGTACTAGCTAAATTCACTTGAAGATCTCCCAGTGTTCTTTCCTTCAATTCAATTTCAGGTTCAAATATTTTATAGGGCTCTTTGAACGATTCATATCATTGGACATCCCCTCTATATGGACCAGCTGTCACCAATTTTTTACTAAATGTAGTTGTGTGATCCAGTCACAGATTGCTCTAGTGTCTGAAACTCTATTTTGTACCTTTTTTTGTTACTGACATAGTTACTGGGTCATAACAGTTGCTATAGCTCATAATAAGTCATTCCATCAGTTTGACTTGGTAAAAACCATCGTGTAATCGGCAGAAATCAGTAATTTATATCAGTGCAATCTGTGGGTGGCTCACATCAACTAAGACAAACATGGGGATGGAATGTCTAGTTTCCATATGTACTTCTTATTAGAACGATATTTACCATGACGGGCCTAAATCAACAATGAACACCAGTCAGCTGATCGATTTTTTTTTCTAACTCAACAACATAAGAGTTCACAAATAAAACTATCAGTTTATAGTCCAGTCAATGAATGATCCAAAAGTAGGTGTAGAGTGCGTGAGCAGGTAACTAAGCGATTCCTTCAGAAACTTGTTCAGGGGGCTTAGGGTGTTAACATACCAAAAGTCCTGACTCCTAGATGGTGAGCCAGGGGGTGGAGGGGGGAAAAAGGGGGTAGAAAGGTACGCATTTTGGGTTTATTGATTATATCTCAAAAACTATCAACTTTTTGTATACTATAGTAAATTATAAAATTGAAGAAGATTAAATTTTTTACAAGAAAAGTATATAATGTGTTTATTTTGGTTCAACAGATTACGAGTTATAACTTATTTAATTAATATCTTATCAAAATAATCCTTCCATAAGAAATACATGTAAATTAGTATGCGAAATGGAGCGAATCCTATCCGCCCAAAGGAAATATAACTGATATTCTGGAAATCTTGACAAAATTTCCAGTAATTTGACACTTTAATCATGAAACTTTGTCAAAAATCAAAGCGAGGGTGAGCGTTTAAAAACGGGATGATTTGAGGGTTTTTTTATATTTCCAATAAAAAAACACCAAAACTCGACATTTTGTTACCTCGCCCTCGCCTTAATTTTGGATCAATTTTAATGATTAAAGTGACAAATTACTGGAAATTTTGTCAAAAGATTTCCAGAATATCAGTTATATTTCCTTTGGGCGGATAGGATTCGCCCCATTTCACATACTAATTTACATGTATTTCTTATGGAAGGAGTATTTTGATAAGATATTAATTAAATAAGTTATAACTCGTAATCTGTTGAACCAAAATAAACACATTATGTACTTTTCTTGTATAATATTTAATCTTCTTCAATTTTATAATTTACTATAGTATACAAAAAGTTGATAGTTTTCGAGATATAATCCAAAAACCCAAAATGCGTACCTTTCTCCCCCCCCTTTTTCCCCCTCCACCCACTGGCTCACCACCTAGGAGTCAGGACTTTTGGTATGTTAACACCCTAAGCCCCCTGAACAAGTTTCTGAAGGAATCGCTTAGTTACCTGCTCACGCACTCTACACCTCATTCCTTGACTGGACTATTATAGATGTGTATAGTTTTATTTTACTTTTTTTGAATCACCCTGTATTATGATAGGGCTGCAACTGGGAATACATTAACCAAAATATGAAGGATGAGTGTAAATTGAGTTAATGCCTTGTGTAGCTTTGTTACTGTTGTAAACTTTTCTCTTATTTCAGGGTGAATTTCACGTGTATCCTATTTTACACTTTACTGTAGTTCCAAAGGACAGACTAAGTATCACAGATTAATATACGAGGAAACCCGTGCGCAAATTGTACAGATTAGGGTTCAAAACCTTTATCCGAGGCAAAATGAATCCAATGGAATACCCATTTTAAAGTTATTGTTAGTGTGTAAAACCTAAGGGAGTATGTTTTATCTATGGTAAAACTGTGTTTTCAATATGTTTTTGATTTTATATATTTACTATAAAGAGTATTTTATCTACCTAAATTAGTTAACAATTAATTGTAAAAAAATTAGCCTATTTAAAATATATTTTCACATCCTGTTCCGTCTCTTGTTTACAATTTGAGTAGTAGTCCAGTCAATGAATGATCCAAAAGTAGGTGTAGAGTGCGTGAGCAGGTAACTAAGCGATTCCTTCAGAAACTTGTTCAGGGGGCTTAGGGTGTTAACATACCAAAAGTCCTGACTCCTAGGTGGTGAGCCAGGGGGTGGAGGGGGGAAAAAGGGGGGGGGAGAAAGGTACGCATTTTGGGGTTTTTGATTATATCTTGAAAACTATCAACTTTTTGTATACTATAGTAAATTATAAAATTGAAGAAGATTAAATTGTCTACAAGAAAAGTATATAATGTGTTTATTTTGGTTCAACAGATTACGAGTTATAACTTATTTAATTGATATCTTATTAAAACCTCCTTCCATAAGAAATACATGTAAATTAGTATGCGAAATGGGGCGAATCCTATCCGCCCAAAGGAAATATAAATGATATTCTGGAAATCTTGACAAAATTTCCAGTAATTTGACACTTTAATCATGAAATTTTGTCAAAAATTAAAGCGAGGGTGAGCGTTTAAAAATGGGATGATTTAAGGTTTTTTTATATTTCCAATAAAAAAACACCAAAACTCGACATTTTGTTACCTCGCCCTCGCCTTAATTTTGGATCAATTTTAATGATTAAAGTGTCAAATTACTGGAAATTTTGTCAAGATTTCCAGAATATCATTTATATTTCCTTTGGGCGGATAGGATTCGCCCCATTTCGCATACTAATTTACATGTATTTCTTATGGAAGGAGGTTTTAATAAGATATCAATTAAATAAGTTATAACTCGTAATCTGTTGAACCAAAATAAACACATTATATACTTTTCTTGTAGAAAATTTAATCTTCTTCAATTTTATAATTTACTATAGTATACAAAAAGTTGATAGTTTTCAAGATATAATCAAAAACCCCAAAATGCGTACCTTTCTCCCCCCCCCCTTTTTCCCCGCTCCACCCCCTGGCTCACCACCTAGGAGTCAGGACTTTTGGTATGTTAACACCCTAAGCCCCCTGAACAAGTTTCTGAAGGAATCGCTTAGTTACCTGCTCACGCACTCTACACCTCATTCCTTGACTGGACTATAGGGCATTCAGCTTAAGGAACAGCTGTTAAATTACAAATTTACATTTTAAATATTATAAAGAAAGCTGGACAACATCGTTGAACAGTAAATGAGCTCTGGATATAAATTAAACGCAATAGGGATGAACCCCTAAAAGGGAATAACCTTTTCCGTTACTATTCATTACTCCGCTTTATTATAAGCTTCAAAATCATACAACAATCGTAAAAATCCGTTAAGTAGGACGGCTGGTAAAGGGATGTAACAGGGATTCCCCCATATTGTATTAAGTATATAGATTCAGTTAAAATAGATTTGAGGTAGGTTAAACATCAAGAAATACACTCTTTCAACAATAAAACTCACAATGTAACATATTCGGGACTATTCTTCCAATTATATTTGGATGAGTAATATAAATGAAAAATCATCGTAAAACACACACTGTACAATATGTTGTTTGGTAAAACAAATATTTATTGTCGATATCAACGCTCAAACGCCACCAGACTTGTCACAAACGGATTATTTGTCTAGGATGAATATTGTTGTCAAAAGTTTGTTAGGCAACATCGCTGAGTGTGTAAACAGTTTATCCTCCGCTTCAGCAAAATATACAGGCTATTGACACTACAAGACCGCGATCTAGACTAAGTGGGCTAAATAATGTTATATGAGATCAGATGTTTTGTTATATCAGATGAGATGTTAAAATTTAATGTCCTATGGATTATTAAATGTCAACTCTTAATTCTTCTAGCGACTCCTTCTGATTTTCACTCAACTTGCGTTATAAAACAAGTTTAAGAGGTTTATTGATTCCTTTTTGTCAATTATTTCACAGGAATTATCACCAACACTCCCATTTCTGTGTAACATGTAACACATTTATGTCTACTACATTTTTCAGTGTGTTTATGTTTTCGTTGGCTTCTAGATGATGTAAGAAATAAGTTCCAATCATCTATTCGGTCCAACAATTTATGTTGGTCGTTTATACGTGTTTCTATGTAAATCTGAAAATGTGTCTTCTGAAACACTGACACGATCTGTGTGGTAAAAAAGTTCAAGCATCCAAAATAACCTGTTTTTAAATCGTCAAACATAGTTTATATTGTTGTTATATTTTCTAAATGCACAGTCGAATTTCAGGCAAAACTGACAAGCGGTAATATTTTATTTCAAATTTTGTTACAAATTTTTATTAACTTTGTTGACTTGTTTTATCTCGGTCCAAGGACCAAAAACAGGGGTTTGGAGACTAAACAATATTTAAAATGTGTTAACCTACAAATAAACATCCCCATTATGTTTTTAATTTTTTTATTTGTATAAAAGTTACAAAACGCTTAACCTAAGTGATGGATTTACAGAATGTTCGGAGGAATGGGCATCGAGCAATCGCTGCTAGGCGCATCCGCTTGAAGACTTGGACTTGGAGTTGTCGGGCGATTCTTGGAGGCAGCGGCGCTCAACAGCTTGAAGGGAAGAAGAGGATCCCGTTTCTCCGGGGTTGTTGTCACGTTGAAACATGTACCGCCTGGGATGGAGGAAGAGAAACCGGCAAACGTCTTTTCTCCACCCTTAGGACCTGTTGTGGTGGGGATTTTCTGTGGTGGAGGTGGATTGACATTAGGAGGATAAGGACGGGCAGGACACGTGAATGGAGGGTACACAGGGAAGGCTGGAGCAGGATAGAACACCGCAGGACATGAAGTGAGCAGAGGTGGAGGACGAGCGTAGAAGACAGGACGAGGTTGTAGAGCAGGAGGACGAGGATAAACTGAATTTGACTCTGGAGGGTTGACAGTTATAGTGATTGAAGAATCTGATCTTCTGGGTATCTTCATGATGGGAGACGGCTTGTCGATGCAATCTGGAGATGGTCGAGCTGGAGGACTGGCAGGAAATGATGGTCCGTAGTTTGGAGCGTACAGTGGCTGTGGTCCAGGTTGAGGAGGTCCATAAAGTTGAGGAGGTCCAGAATACTTAGGAGGTCCAGAATATTGAGGAGGTCCAGAATATTGAGGAGGTCCACTAAGTTGAGGAGGTCCACTAAGTTGAGGAGGTCCACTAAGTTGAGGAGGTCCCACCCTCTGGAAACCTACGGGGCTTTGGCATCCACATGAGCACGATGGTGGATGGTTGAGGAAGACCTGTCCAACATCGGGACTGTTCAACGAGCTGACAAATGTTTGGCCAGGATCTTCACTGTTCAACGAGCTGACAAATATTTGGCCAGGATCTTCACTGTTCAGCGAGCTGACGAATGTTTGGCCAGCATCGGGACTGTTCAAAAAGCTGTTGAATGTTTGGACATCTTGGCGGTATTTCCCAGGGCACGGGGGTCCCACCTGGTTGTATTGTGGCCCAGGGTTGTATTTCTCACTGTACGACAAAGGCCCTTCCTTCACCACTAGCCCACCTTGGTATGAGATTTCAGCCTGAAAGAGAAATAATGCTTATTTTGCTGTAGAATATAAGACACTAAAAAACAACTCAATTGCATATAGGATATTAAAGGAGTAGGAACACCTTCCCGATTGGCTTAAGCTCTCTTCACGAATATTTTTAAATATTAAAGTGATTAATTATAAATTACATCAGTTGTTGATGAACATCGCCAACTTCAGAAAATGAACATCGCCAGTTTTGCTGATTAATTTATCTTTGCTTCGACTAAAATTCTGCTAGATTTGTTAGTTCACTGCGTATACTGGATTATTTTAAGGTTAATGGTTAGAGCACCACGATTTCTATTCAAAGGACTCGAACTTTAGTCCCCCCAATCACAAATAGCTAGCTTCTAACTATATGTTGATGGCGAAACACGAATATGGCTGTTAGTTGAGAACTGCCTCTGCACGGGAGATCTCTCTACCCTAAACGTCTAGAATCTAGACTAGAAGCAGTATTCAATAAATCTTTGCACATTGATAACGAAGAACTAGACGAACCTATGGCTGGATCATAGTATATAACTGTTCACTGGCTCTAAAAATAGTACGACCATTAAATCATTAAACAATTCGTACTTAAATCTAACTTTGAAATTTTGTACAGCAAAAACATAAAACTGACAAAACATTTTGAGGAAATCGTTAAACAGTGATATGAAGCTGGTACTTTATTTTTATTTCAGCATATTTATTAGAATAAGTCAGCACAATTATAAAAGAACATCATGCACAGGAATACATACAGTAATAATAATTTTCAAATCCAAAAATGAGGTTTTATAGGAGAACGAAAACTTTGGATAATCAAACATTGGAGGTAAATTTGTTTCAACTAATACTAAATCAGTTAGAACATATGTCTACTCGTATTGGGAAGTTAGCTTTTAGATTAGTGACTTGCAAATAATATGTTATTTTATATAGTATCTTCAATAACCATAAAAGTTGCACTTTTCTTTACTTATATCTAAAGCTTACCCTTGCCGCGGCAACCGTCGCGAAGACGGCCAGAACTATTCTCATTCTCGATCCCGTTGTGTTCTGTTCTCCCCTCGTACCAGGAGTTCTTATACACCCTGTAGCACGCCCGACCTTTATCAAACCCTACATTGGGCGGGTGACGGGTTCGAGCACGAGCAGCTGTCAAAACATTCCGTTTATAGTCAAAACACAGCGCACCTGGCATTGAACGGACGTCATGTTAGCACGTGCCGTAGTGATGTGATGTGTTAAGTGGTAAAAATCTCTTCCATTGTTACACCTGGTGCTATGCTTAAAACCGTCAGATTGGTTGGATTTGAACTTGGAACCTTTGGGTCGAAACCCTGTGCTCTACTAGTACTAGTGCTTTACCTGTAAAAATATGAAAAAAACCCTTTGATATATTTATCAGTGAATCTTTGTAGACTTTTGTCTGGAGCACATCACCTAGTATAATTATTATAATTTCATGACTGTCGAATGGTTTTCATAGAAGGAAATCTACTATTGCAGATTCCCTACTGCAACCACACACACTTACTTAGGCTACTTAGTCTTACTTAGTCTTTACGACACAAGCAGACAATTTAAGCCTTTAAAACTTTTACGAGTGTGGTAAATGCTAATTACGTTGCGTACACTACTTTGCCTACGACAGTTTTTTAATCTATCTATCTATCTATATATTAATAGGCAAGCATGTTTCTTTAAAACCTTTTTTCTCAGCTTGTGGGCATCGCAGGAAAAATCTTCGCATACTGTTAGAAAGATATTTTTCTGTAGGTGTGCAGAATCCCTTTAAAAATTAAAATAGGCTCAGAAATAAGCACAAGAAATAAATTTGAAATTTGAAAAAAATTAACATGGGCTTTATGGGTTTCCATGCTGGTGACGAAATAACAACGAAATATAAACAGAAAATCAAAACAAATTAAAGAAACGCCAATCACATGTGTTATTTACAGTGTGGGGTGAAAAGAGAGAAGTCTGTACATTACAAATTTTTGGTCGAGTTTCGACCACTGGACGACCTCTAGTACTTATTTAATACGCAAGCAGGATTTTTGTGACAATTACTCCTCCGAAACTACTGAACCGATTGACAAGTTTTTGGTGTCATTGGAAAGAGCATAACGTGAAGTTGTGCAGGAAACTTTCTTTTTAGGGAAATAATTAGAGAGTGAGGCCCTGGGGCCCTTTAAAGTTTTGTATTTCTCCATAAGATTAACATGGGAAACAAACATTGTTTTGAAACTCCAGCTGTTGTCAGAAATTAAATATTAATAATTGGTCTCCATGGGAGCATGAGAAAATTCACAATGTTTACATTTGCTTTGACATTTAAATGTAAACAACGAGAACTGTCAAATGCCTATTTCACAATTTCAGACAGCTGATTAAAAAAAATATACAACTATGTGGTAGGTTAATTTAATCTTAAACTTTATGATGGATTATTTATTGTAAATCTATTTCAATGATCATGAAACTTTTCCCGTTGCAAAGCAAAAATTAATAGTGGGAAAAAGAACATGTTAATTGTAAACCGTCAATGTGTAAATTATCTATGTTGTATTAAAAATGTTTATAGTTTTGGATATTGGTTTGTGTTTAATGATATAAGTTATTAGTTATTGAATTTTTATTTTAAGGACTTGGCATATGAGTAAGTCTATGATAAATAACACCATTTTCGAATTCTGCCAGTTTTTGCCTAACTGTGTCCTGTAGAGTTTAAAGTAGCCTACACCTTATTGTCTACAAACTGGCTAAATAACTTAGGTATGGTACTTTATAAAAGCTGACAGCCTTTTTACGTTCACTTAAATTGTAAGCTTACCTTTTCCCGTCCATGGGCAGTTTGATTGTTAATAGTTAACCCTTTAAACTGGAATAGGACTGTTATGTAAATTGTGAGTATTTCCATTAGTTAATAATCTTTTAGTTGACTCTTTGATAATCATCGGAATTATGACTGTTATTAGTTTTTAAACAAGTTATTTGTTTACAAATAACTCCTATACTTCTTTACAATTGCTCGATTTCGAGCAACATGTACACTAGTTGTTTCATTAAATAGCAAATTTAAAGCAGTTTTATACACTAACTGCAAAAAATTATTAGACAAATTTCAGTAATTAAAAACATTTGTTATAAAAAGTCTGTAAAAATCCCCTAGGGTGTAATTTATGTTTTCTTCTCAATGATTTGTGTTGTGGCATAATCAGCTGGCCAACAATGGACACTACCAGCTGTGTATGATATTTGATGAATCAAACAATAATCTGACCTCAGTATCAAAATGACTAGTGTGCAAGAAAAAGTTAAGTGTGTTCTTTGGTTTCATGAAAGCAGATCTGTATGGTTCAGAGCAGGCTTTGTTTCGAGTATGGACGTAATCCTCCAAGTAGCAATTCTATAAAATGTTCCATAAAAATTCTATAGTCTAAAGGTCCTCATATCAGATCAAATATAACTTATAATAAATAATTACTATGTTTCTAAGGCTAGGATTATACTAGGACGCTGGCGTCCGAGAGGCCAGCGTCCGGGACGCTAGCGGGGCATTAAATCAAATGGGGGCGATTATACTATGGATGCTAGCGTCGGATGCTAAAAACAAGCCACCGAAAGCTCGAAGTTTTTACCGTAGGTGGCATGGTAAGACCTAGGCCGGGGACCGATTTACTTTTTCATTTTGATGTCCCCAGAGGTCAAAAACACCATCCGTTCGTATAGATTTAAATATTATATATATGTCTGTTAACGCGATAACTGGAGTAATTTTTGTTCTATTTTGAAGAAATTTGGTTTTAAGGCTAGGATTATACTAGGACGCTAGCGTCCGAGAGGCCAGCGTCCGGGACGCAAGCGGGGCATTAAATCAAATGGGGGCGATTATACTATGGATGCTAGCGTCGGATGCTAAAAAAAGCCACCGGACGCTTGAAGCTATTACCGTAGGTGGTATGGTAAGACCTAGGCCAGGGACCGATTTACTTTTTCATTTTGATGTCCCCAGAGGCCAAAAACACCATCCGTTCGTATAGATTTAAATATTATATATATGTCTGTAAATGCGATAACTGGAGTATTTTTGTTCTATTTTGAAGAAATTCTGTTTTAAGGTGAGGGGTGGGATAAACTTGAATGAGTTCGCGAACCAGCATGAACAGACCTTGGGAACGGGGTTTTATGTGCTAAAAAAGGGGGTTTGTCATTTTTGACCCATAAAACTGAAAAATTACCAATTTCTCTCCAGACAATTTTAATGAGCTTAAAAACAAATAATTTAGTATATTTAAGTGTTTTTGTACTGTAATTAGTTATGGAGGAAATTAAAAAAAGAGTATATTAAAAATTGCCATGTTATTCTTATAGAAAATGTTGTTAAGTGTTGGAATTTGCTTGTGTATGGATATATTTTGATTATACTTGGCCAATTTGTTTTATACTAAGCTAATAATACAGTATTTTATTAAAAATACACTTTATTAGCTCCCCTTAAAACATCAAACCTTGGTACTCGTTAAACATGATGTTATTTAAATAGATCTAAACAAAAAGTGACTAAACCTTGAAATAAAATGGCATTCCGAGAGGCTAGCATCCCAACACAAATCGCGTCATTTTTCGGCTCGAGGTGGGACGCTAGCCTCTCGGACGCCAGCATCCCGGACGCCAGCGTCCTAGTATAATCCTAGCCTAAGGTGAAGGGTGGGTTAAATTTGAATGAGTTCGCGAACCAGCATGAACATACCTTGGGAACGGGGTTTTATGTACTAAAAAAAGGGGTTTTGTCATTTTTTACTAATAAAACTAAAAAATTCACAATTTCTCTGTAGACAGTTTTAATGAGCTGAAAAACAAATAATTTAGTATATTTAAGTGTTTTTGTACTGTTAGGGCCTATTAGTTATGGACAAAATTTAAAAAAGAGTATATTAAAAATTGCCATGTTATTCTTATAGAAAATGTTGAAAAAACTTGGCTAGGATTATACTAGGACGCTGGCGTCCGGGATGCTGGCATCCGAGAGGCTAGCGTCCCACCTCGAGCCGAAAAATGGTGTGATTTGTGTTGAGATGCTAGCCTCTCGGAATGCCATTTTATTTCAATGTTTAGTCACTTTTTGTTTATATCTATTTAAATAACATTAGGTTTAACGAGTACCAAGGTTTGATGCTTTAAGGGGGCTAATAAAGTGTGTTTTTTAGTAAAATACTGTATTATTAGCTTAGTATAAAACAAATTGGCCAAGTTTAATCAAAATCTATTCATACACAAGCAAATTCCAACACTTAACAAAATTTTCCATAAGAATAACATGGAAATTTTTAATATACTCTTTTTTTAATTTTCTCCATAACTAATAACAGTACAAAAACACTCAAATATACTAAATTATTTGTTTTTAAGCTCAATAAAATTGTCTAGGGAGAAATTGTGATTTTTTTTAGTTTTACAGGTCAAAAATTACAAACCCCCTTTTTTTAGCACATAAAACCCCGTTCCCAAGGTATGTTCATGCTGGTTCGCGAACTCATTCAAATTTATCCCACCCTTCACCTTAAAACCAAATTTCTTCAAAATAGAACAAAAGTTACTCCAGTTATCGCGTTTACAGACATACATATATAATATTTAAATCTATACGAACGGATGGTGTTTTTGGCCTCTGGGGACATCAAAATGAAAAAGTAAATCGGTCCCGGGCCTAGGTCTTACCATGCCACCTACGGTAATAACTTCGAGCTTTCGGTGGCTTTTTTTAGCATCCGACGCTAGCATCCATAGTATAATCGCCCCCATTTGATTTAATGCCCCGCTAGCGTCCCGGACGCTGGCCTCTCGGACGCCAGCGTCCTAGTATAATCCTAGCCTAAGCTGCTGGGTTATTTATTTATTTAATCTTAAAGTGTGTCCAATACTTTATGACCATCCTGTATATTGAAATACTGTACGTCAAATTTGTATTTATGTCAAAAAAAATAATCGCCTATGTTATTGTAGCGTAAATCACAACGTAACATGACAATAAACATATAACCATGTAGCTTATAATGTTTTTA